TGTATATTTACTGTAAATATAGATCCTATATTTAGAACTTTAGTGGATAGTAAATATGAATTTTGATTTAATTAAATTGATTTAATTGTTATTTACCCACTATATTACTTATTGATAATCATGCTCGAAGCCCATTGGGTGTTCCGCCACAAAATTTATTTGTCTCTATATATAGCTAAAAAGCGTTACAATTACAATTTCCTTTTGTAGTAATATATTATAATAATATTTTTAAAAAGTTACTTTAAAGTTTATAGAAATAAATCTGCAAACGGTTATTTGGTTATACAATGTATAAACAAAATATTTATGACTGAACACATATTTAATATTGAACTATTAATTAAGTGGTAGAAAGTTTTGTAATGAATTTTATATTTAAAATAATAAAAACATAATTACAAAAGTTAACATTTAAAATATATTGTATTAAATTTCTTAGGGTATCTACAACTTCACTCTATTTTTTACTCTAAAATAGAGTTTGCAGTCAAATTTGTTCCAATCCCACTCCATTTTCATCTTTAAAATAGAATAAAAGATAAGTTTACTCTAAATATGGAGTAATTTTATTTATCATTCTATTTTTTTTTTGTTTTCCATTCCATTGTTTTTTTCCAAAATATAGTAGGATTGAAATAAAACATAATTCCATTATATTTTTGGGTTGAAGATGGTCTTAGTTGTTGTTTGAATTTCTCTTTACTTCCAATAAAAACAATAAAAACAATTAAAAGGTGGTCAGTAACAATGCCTAAAATTATACCTTTTTTTTACTAATAATTATTATTTCTAAAACTACTTTGGAAATAGCTCCTTTACACTAATTGGTCAAACTGTTTTAGTAGAAAATAATCAACAGAAATTAAAAGCATAAAAGGAAAATATATTGTATTACCTTCCATTTGATATGATGAATTCCTTTTTGGCCTAAACTGTATACATTTAGTTTTTTTCTTTTGAATGGACATATGAACTATTATTTAATATTTACCACTATTTCAGATTTCTTTCTTTTTACAGCAATTCAACTGTTTTCCAGTTGGCAAAGTTGGCAATGTCACATTTTTATATAATATATTATTAGATATAAGAAAACCATATAAAAAATTACATCATTTTATCGAATTGAGTTATATTTTGAACCGATCTAACTAAAACCAG